TTGAGGACACAATTGACAGTTGGCCACATGAAGCTATAGTGAATTCAAAATATCACCACTTTGGTCAGTTACACTCGGGGAATTTTGTATAAAAATATTATATTTTTGAGCAGCTTTTAAGCTCAGTTGTATAATAGTATTTATCTGTGAGCAAAAAAAGGTTTATTGCAGAGAAAATGATTTTTGGAAGGAAAAAACTCAAAATGTGGAATATTAAGGTCTACATTTTCATTATTAATGTTGCATGTTTGATTTTTTGCCTATGTGTGGATTATTTTCTGTGTGGTGTGATTTCATTTCATTTTCTCTCTCTGTTGTTCTTTTGACAAACTAAATATTACTAAGGTTTTGAATTCAAATGGATCGTTGCGGCCACGAAAATGTCAAATCGTACAGCAAAATCGAGGCAGACCTTGAAAAGAATACTTAAAATCAGTGTTATTTTTTTCTCGACTGCAATACGGGAAAAAGCGGTCGGAAACAGCAACGATAAATGCGCGATTTGGTGTATACTTCGAAATTTACGGAAAAAAATTAAATCGGTCTGAAATAAATTGCAGCAAAAATTAAATCGTAAGTGGATTTCTTTTCACAGAAATACTACTTCGCTTCCATCAAGTGGCTAGAAAAATGACGACAATTGCACCGAATATCGCAGCGGCAAACAATGTTACGAAATATACGGCCCAAAATCACATCGCTAGTGAGAGAGAAAAAAAAATTAAAATCAGTGTTATTTTGTTACCTAAATCTCCAACGAAATTAAACCGACGAAAAATTACGGCAAAAATTAGCAGAGGCCGCCAAAGAAAATCAAACTAAATCGGTGTTAATTTGTTTACTTCGATGCCATGGCGAAAATCACTAAAATTATGAGAAAAAAAAATTAAAAAAATCTAATCGGCAGCGGATCGGTAGCATCTTCGACACTGCCTCAAAAAGTCGGAATACGAATCTTGGCAAACGGTGGGGAAATGACGGCAGCAAAGCCATTAAAACGACGGAAATTACGGAAATGCCATCAAAGCGGTATAAAATAAAATAATCACCATGCATGCATGGTGAAAATTACGGAATTTCAATTACAGTGAAAATATTAAATGACTTCTTCCCAGCAGGTCTACGAAAATAACGGAAATTGCTGCACCTTTTCGAGCAGTTGGCCTTAAAAAAAAATTGCGGGAAAAATTATGTATGCATGTGAATGAGTAAAACCTAGTGTAAACAACAAAGCTTGGGAAAAAATGTCTGTAAGACGTGCGACATGTTTACTATCGCATGCGACATTCCTCCGTAATGTTCAACCATCTACATCATTTAGGCCTATGTGAGTCCGACTTGGACAGTTCGGCAGGGATATATGTTTGCATCAATATATTTAATCCTCCAGTTATTTGGTAGTCTCGCTCTGTCTTCAGATAATTAAGACCCCAAGCATCGGCTTGGGATGAGACTTGACATCAGTGCTGTTATATTCAAGCCCAAAACAGAAAAATACGGGCAAAATAACAGCACTGCGGTAGTGAATAAGATTGCTATGGTAATACCTGGGAAAGTAGTGATTATGTCAACGGTGCATGACTTTCATTGCCATCATGTTTTGTGTGTGCCGGCTTTAAGTGCATGTCGAGTCACGTGCGACACTATTATTTCCTTCGTAAAATGTTTGCAATTAGGTAACGCCTACACGTATAACCCTCCTTCCGCCGTATAGTGTAAGTCCGATTTGGAAGGGATCGGCAAGGATACTGATGGCATTTTGTCATCTTAAAGTCATGTGAATTTCTTGAACGTGTTTACAGTGTGTAAGTTACATGCGGTTTCCAAGGCAACCTCCCATTATAAGCGTGGGACATTTTTTGTGCATTGTTACAATAATCGTGTGTGTTTTAAAAAAATAACTAATGGAAAACACGGGAAGAATACCTACTTTCCATTGGGTCATAACATAACCATGACCATGTTACAGGTATAGGCTTAGACATTATTATTAAATGCATTGGAATCAATAACAAACGGGCTAGGCCCAGTGTTTTCGTACCCCTGTTCATTTAGGAAAGAGGTGCAGCTTTCATCAAAGAAACTGGTGATCTAAAAGTTGAGACAGACTGGATGAGCTAGGCTGCTTTGTCTGGACGAAAATGAACCCTCCAAGGCTCCAACAGCCTCATCACACAGAAACTCGAGGAACCGGAAGCAGGGAGGAGGACCGACAGATGAACGGATGACCTGCTTGCTGGGCTTCCCATTACTGATTCTTGAGGTTAGTTTACATGTAGGCCTCCTCTTAACAGGATTAATCAAGTCACAGAACTAATCAAAATGGGCGATCTGACTCTGTTATTATGTTCTTCCGCAAACAACGAGTTCTGGTAGCGGGGCTTTGCTTTGTGGGGTTAATTCAATGTTTTTTTCCCCTTTCTAGCCCTGGCACGAACACAGCTCAATAATTCAAATGTTTTCTTTCGTCATTTGAATCCTTTCAGAAAAAAGGGGACCACTGACTGATGAGGGAATTGCTCAACTGGGTTTGATGAGCCTGCCTCAAGACATCGTCAGGGCTCCAACAGCCTCATCACACAGAAACTAGAGGAACCGGAATCAGGGAGGAGGACCGGCAGATGAACGGATGACCTGCTTGCCGGGCTTCCCATTACTGATTCTTGAGGTGAGTTCACTCGTATAGGCCTACTCTTAACAGGAACAAGCAAGTCACAGAACTATATCAAAATGGGTGATCTGCTTTTCTTTGTGTTCTTCCACAAACGTAGATAGCTGGTAGCTGGAGTTTCCTTTGTTGGATTAATTCAAAGTTTTGTTTTCGCTTTCCAGCCCTACATTACACATTAGTAACTCAGATATTTTATTTGAATCCTTTCAGAGAAATGAGGACCACTGACTGATGAGGGAATTGCCCTACTGCAATGGATGAGCCTACCTCAAGTCATGGATGAAACTGGACAATGGCGAAGCTGCTCTATCGGAACAAGGATGTACTCATCGGTAACTTTCAAGATGATAATGCAGAATATTGAATCAGAAATCGGATTGCATATTTTGCAAATATTGTTCAAGGTAAATTGTGCATGTTTGATTTGTTGTCTATTCTCTGTGGTGTGATTTCATTTCATTCTCTCTGTCGGTCTGTTGTCAATTTGACACAGAGACAAACATGAAAGGTTTTCAATTCAACTCGATCGTTGCGGCTAAGAAAATGTCAAATCGTACCGCAAAATTGAAGCAGGCTTTGAAAGAAATAATACTTGAAATCAGTGTTATTTTTTTTCTCGAGTGCAATACGTGAAAATGCGGTCAGAAGCACGATACTCGCGCGATTCCGTGTAGTTCTTTTGTGAAATTTACGCCAAATGTTACATTATTTTACTGCAAGTGGAATAACTACCCGAAATGTTCGACCCAAAACAGAAAACAAATCGGTAAAAAAAATTACGAGAATCGAGTCGTATACTAGTTTTTTTTTTGCAAAAATACTACCGGTTCTCCACTTCTTACGGGTGGCTAAGAAAATGTGGCAAAGAAGGTGACGGAACATACAGCCAAAACAACCAGAGCGTTATAGTGAGAGAAATCACATTTAAAATCAGTTTTATTTCTCTTACCTACAATCCCCTGAAATGGTTACGGGATTAACGAAACTAAAGCGTTGAACAAAAAATACGACAAGACAAATAACGGCGGTCGCGATAGAAAATAAACAATTGAAATGGCTGTCGGTCACTTCGCAGACTTTCCACTTCGCTGACAACCACTTCATCGACAACCACTTTGCCGAATTACCACTTCGCCGAATTACAACTTCGCCGAATTGCGGCTATACGAAAGAGTCAAATCGTACAGCAAATCGAAGCAGACGTTGAAAGAAATAATACTTGAAATCAGTGTTATTTTGTTCTCGACTGCAAATACGGGAAACTAAGCGGTCAGAAGCAGCAACGATACTCGCGATTTAGTGTACGGCACGAAATTTACGCGACATTTTCAGCAGTATTGGAAGAATACTGAAGAGTATTGTTATTTGTTACCTATACTGCAAAACCTACCCGAAATGTTATTACTACGAGTCAAAAGACGAAACAAACTATCAAACCGGATTAAAATATATTATAGCGAAAATCCTATCCTTGCTGTAGTTGCCTTTCGCAGAAATACTACTCCACTTTCTACAGGTATACTGGTATACGATAAAAGCTATTGAAAAATGACGATCAAAGTGGCAAACGACGAAATATACGGCCAAAATAATCGCATCGCTTGTGAGAGAAATAATATTTATAGCATATTATTTTTCTTACCCACAAATCTCCAAATAAAAAGGTGGTTACGAAAATAACGAAACTTTACGGCGAAAATTACGGCAAAAATTTACAGCGGCCACGAAAGAAATATACAATTGAAAACGGTGTTAATTTTCCTAATTTCGATGGCATGAAAAAAATTGGCTTCAGAAAATAAATAACGAAAATGATGCCATCAAAAAAATCTTATCGGCAGCAGATCGGTAGCATTTTTACGGGCACTGCTTCAAAAAGTCGGAAAATGAATGTTAACAAACGGATGAGGAAATGACCTCAGCGAAACAGTTACATTGACAGAAATTACGGGAAAAAAATCTAAGCTGTATCAAAAAAGAGGAATCGCCATGTCGAATAAAAACATAGATATGAAGAAGATGACACCGTTTCAATTACAGCGAAAAAGACATCTTTCCGCAGATCGTCAGCAAAAATTACCGAAATTGCTGCATGCATCTTCGAGAAGTTTGCCTTCAAAACGAACTTCAGCAAAGAGCAAAATGTAATGCATGTGAATGGTAAAACTTAGTGTAAACAACACAGCTTGGGAAAGACGTGCTACATGTCTACTATCGCATGCGATTGCTCTTCATATTCTTGTAGGGTTTTTTTTCCTCCAACTTTCATCTACATCAGTTTTATGTAAGTCCGATTTGGAAAGATCGGCAGGGAGATAGGCCTTACATATGTACATCAGGTGTAATTTTACCCTGAAATGAGTAAGGCCAATCATCAAGCATCGGCTTGGAATGAACTTAGACAAACATGAAAGGTATGAATTCAAATTGATCGTTTCGGCTACGAAATGTCAAATCGTACAGCAAAATCGAAGCAGATGTTGAAAGACATAATACTTGAAACCAGTGTTATTTTTTTTCTCGACTACAATACGTGGGGAAAAGCGGTCAGAAGCAGCAACAATACTCTAATACGCTATTTCACGTACTATGAAAGTTACGTCATTACAGCAGTATTGGAGGAAACAATACCATGTGAAATTCTTGAATATTTGTTGAGTATACAGTGCATGAGATATATGCGGTTTCCAAGGCAACCTGTCATTATCAGCGGCAGCACATGTTTGTGCATTGTGGCAAATCACCGTGTTTGTTTCTAAATTAGTAAATAATGGAAAACATGGGTAGGTTACTTTCCATTGGGTCATGACCAGGTTACAGGTAGGCTTAGACATAATTATGGGATGCATTTGGAATGTTTCACTTCAATAACAAGTGGGCTAGGCCCAGTGCTTTCGTACCCCTGCTCACTTAGGAAAGAGTTGCAGCTTTCATCAAAGAAACTGATGATCTAAAAGTTGAGACGGACTGGAGGAGCTAGGCCGCTTTGTCAGGACGAAAATGAACCCTCCAAGGCTCCAACAGCGTCACCATACACAAGCTCGAGGAACCGGAAGCAGGGAGGAGGACCAACAGATGAACGGGTGACCTGCTTGCTGGGCTTCCCATTACGGATTATCAGGTTAGTTTACACGTACTTGAAAATGAACATAAACAAGTCACAGAATCAAAACGGGACATCTGGCGCTGTTTGATGTTCTTGCACAAAATGAAGAGTGCTAGCAGCGTGGCTTGGCTTTGCTTTGTTTGGGTGCACTCAAAGTTTTGTTTCCCCTTTCCATTCCTACCTTGCACATTTCTTAATAACTCAGATATTTTCTTTCGTCATTTGAATCCTTGTAGAGAAGTGAGGACTACTGACTGATGAGGATGCCCTACCGTGATGGATGAGCTTCTTGGGAGGACTGACAGATGACTTGCCCTGCTTGCTGAGCATGCCATTACCGATTCTTGAGGTGAGTTTTCTTAAAAACAAAAAAGAGTCCGTGCATGCAGTGTATGATTAACGAAATGTATTATTCCTCTGATACTAGTTTCTCTCCTATTTCATCTTAAATGTAAATTCTAACCTTTGCTTGTAATTGTTTGTTTGTAATATTTCAGAAGACGAGGACCACCAAGCTTGGATAAGACTGGACAAAGACGAAGATGCTGTATCTGGACAATCATCGGAAACTTGCAAAATTAACTTGTAGAATATCGAATTAGAAATCAGGCTGCATATTTTGCATATTTTTCATTAGTACATGTACTACACGCCATGGCAACCATATTCCACAAAATAAATAGAAGTCATTTTTGTCCCTTTAAATTGTCTATGCCTCTTAAATTATCTTAAACCTACGGAAGCGTTAAAGTGACATTATACAAACTAAAGAAAAAAAAGAACTAAGTCATAATTATGACTTATTATTAAGTCATAACAATGACTTCATAATATCAAATAACAATGACTTAGTATTAAGTCATAATTATGACTTATATCTCATAATTACGACTTAGTAATTGTTAAATCATAATTATAACTTATATCTCGTAATTATGACTTACTATCAAGTCATATTTATGACTTATATGTTATAATGACTTAATATTTAGTCATAATTACGACTTAATGCTAAGTCGTAATTATGAGATATAAGTCATGACTTAATAACAAGTCATTGTTATGATATATAAGTTTAATTATGACTTAATAATAAGTCATTGTTATGAGATATAAGTATACTTATGACTTAAAACTAAGTCATAATTGTGAGATACAACTCATAATTATGACTTTATAATAAGTCATAATTATTTCATTATTATGCCCCGCGGCGAAGCCGAAGGGGCATACTGTTTCCGCCTTGTCCTTCCGTGGGTGGGTGGGTGTGTGGGTGTGTGTGTGGGTGGGTGGGTGTGTGGGTGTGTGTGTCCGGACAAATCTTGTCAGCGCGATAACTTGAGAAATACTTAACATATGAACTTCAAATTTGGTTTGTGGATTGTCCTTGGCAATTCTAAGAAGCCTTTTGCATTTGGGGCCAAAAGGTCAAGGGTCAAGGTCACAGTGACTAAAACAAAAGAAATTTTGTCAGCGCGATAACTTGAGAAATACTTTACATATGAACTTCAAATTTGGTTTGTGGATTGTCCTTGGCAATCCTAAGAAGTCTTTTGCATTGGGGGCCAAAAGGTCAAGGGTCAAGGTCACAGTGGCAAAAACAAAAGAAATTTTGTCAGCGTGATAACTTGAGATATACTTTACATATGAACTTCAAATTTGGTTTGTGGATTGTCCTTGGCAATCCTAAGGAGCCTATCGCATTGGGGGTCGAAAGGTCAAGGGTCAAGGTCACAGTGGTTAAAACAATAGAAATCTTGTATTTATTCTGAGATCATAGGGATTAGGGATTAATTCATATAAAACCTACAGAAGACACTAATGCTGTCAATGAACGTTCCATTTGACCAAGGTACATGTAAGTTGATGTTAGAGTGGTGTTATGTCATGGAAACAGTCACGGTTGCGGGGCATTTGTGTTTGTAAACACACCTGACTTGTTTTTTTTATTATGTCCCCTTAACGCTTCCGTATAAACCTGATCATATATAAACAATTCTTTTTAGACGAAATGTTTAAATTTTTGAAAATCTATTGTAATTAAGTCTTTAGCTGGTACTTAACAGTGCTTGTCTCGGAGCATGGAGGTTCCTATGATCTGTCCTGGGCTATCCAAAATGATTACATCAATAGTTATTAATTCTAATAATTACCTTGAACGCATTAAATTGGATCTTCTCGGGAAATTAAGAGATTCCTCACCTAGAGGGTCTTTTTATGGAGAACTTTGCTCCTTAAATTTAACTTGATATTTAGCGTGCATTTTTTAAAGTCGGCGTTAATTTATGTCTTGTAGGACTTCAACGATTTCAAAAATTGTCATTTCATTGTTTAAAACTCTAGTCAAATTTAACAAACTTAAGACGACAGTTTACTTTAAACACGTAACTTTATTTCCAGTTTTAAAAGTCAAAAGAAAATGCAGGAATATACTTTTGGAAAAGAATAAATTGTTAAGGAACTTCTGTCCACCGATGCTGGAAAATGTTTAGAAGGTGATGACCCCTCCCCCTCAGTTTTACCTGCCTTACAGAGGCACTTTCTTTTCACACAATGGAAAAAAAATCATTTATATATTTTTTTTTGAAGAAAATTTCTTAATACTGCATTGCAAGAGGTACAACTGGCACTCAAATTATCTTTGTGTTTATCCTTTTGTGACATTAGATTGCACTTTTTTAAAAACTTTTGCTAACATTTTTTTATTTTTTTAATATTTTTTTTCCTTTGTGGTTTAACATATCTTTTTCACTTTATTAATTGTTCAATTAACCCACCACAAAAGGATAAACACAACGTATACCGAGTGCTGAACTTACCTCATCAAAAAAAAAAAGAAATGCTTAACTTAATATTTCAAAACAATATATGAATAATGTTTTTTTTTGGGGGGGGGGGGCTATCCCCTTGCTTTTATCTTCTCTTATAAAATGAGACAATCCATAGACATGACAATGAAGATTACTTTTGAAAAAAAATGTTTAGGCTCGAGCTTTGCTGTAATTGGTACAATCATATGGAATAACTTGCACGTGCAGTTGAGAACCATAACTTATCTAACTACGTAAAACATTAGGCCGGTTAATATTTCAGCATTTATGTGTTATTCTTGTCCCTGCCTTTACTGATATTTTTATACAAATGTAAATATGTGCTGACTTTAAACTTGGCTGCCATAATAATAAGTAGCCGGATGGGAACTTTCCAGTTTTTTTCTCCCAAAAGTTTTTTTCACGGGTTTTCGCCCCTCTCGTAATCAGCGAATGTATAGAAATACACATTTAAATTTTACTGATGTCACAAGAAATGACAAAAATTCCTCGTATAAAGTTAAATTACCTTAGCGAGTCGTTTCAAACTATACATGTTTCTTTGTAATGTTGTACAATATTGATAACAGTTGCTTTACAATCGCGCAGTAATCTCGTATGCTTATATTTTATTTCATTGTGGTGTATTGTATTTGTAATGTATCGTATTTGTACAGTGTATAGTCATTATGTATAGTCGCGCAGTAGTCCCGTATTTTATTTCATGGTATTGTATTTGTAATGCATTATATTTGTAAATGTGTGTATAATCGTTAGTAGTGTGTGCAGGGCCCCAATGGAAACCAGTTTTAAATTGTTTGGGCGCTCCCTTGGTAAAGAAATATAATAATTAATAAAATCTAAGTCACAAAAAGTGAAATACGAAAAAGCAGCTTTGACTTTGCTCTTTTATGTCTTGCACCTAAACCTATAATATTATTAAGTGATTATTAATTTCTCAGATTGGCCTTTGCCCAAGATTTTTGCTCATGTGGAATCTGTTGTGTTTGTTTTGTAAAAGAATAATTGTTAAAACATTGTTGTCAATCAGGTTTAGGAATAAAATAAAAATAAAACCTGTAATGAATGAGACGCTTGACATCCTTGATAGATTGTAATTATATTTGCCGTTTTCAATTGTTTTATAACAAGGGGCTCCGGCGGTGATCCAGAGCGCGGTCGTTGTATAAAAACTAGCATTTGCTTTCAATATATTTTACTTGCATTGTGTGTGAACAAAAATGAAGCAAATGCTTAACTGCGAAATACTAAAAGTATTTACTTTTAACTTTGATATCTTTTGACAGACTATTTTATTAGCAGTTGCTTCGTTTGGTTGGAATTAAAGTGAGTAAATGCTTCAGACTGAGGGTACCGTTTTACTAGTCGTTTTTTCAAGTCTGGGTATAGCCTTGACCAAGGCTATCAGCTTGTTCCCATACGAGCTTGTTCCCGCTACCGCACACCGCGCGCGCCGCTACACAATCACTAGTTGTACTATACCGTTAGCCTCAACGACCCTTGCGTGTGCTTTGTGTGCATGTACGTACGCCCCACACACACTTCCGCAAACAGCCGTACAGTATTAAGTCGAGGCGGAAGATACCGCCTCGACTTACTGTACGGCTGTTTGCGGAAGTGAGTGTGGGGCGTACGTACATACACACAAAGCACACGCAAGGGTCGTTGGGGCTAACGGTATAGTACAACATTGTGTTGCTGCGCGCGCGGTGTGCGGTAGCGGGAACAAGCTCATAATGGGAACAACTGATAGCCTTGGTCAAGGCTAGTCTGGGTATTGTAGTCGGCGCTGAACTTGAAAAGAATAAGCAAATACTAGTATGCAAAAAAGCAGCTTTTGTGGTTCGGCAGGAAAAGGTAGGGGCCTATATCCACTGAGAGGAGGCCTGTCGATAGAATCAAAATACAAGTAACTACAGTGAAACGCCGCTAAAACGAACACCACCATAACGAACATTTGGTTATAACGAACGTCCTCACGGGCTCCCGAAGTAGTGAATTCTATTATATTAATGCAAAATCACTATAACGAACAATACCCGGCAGTTTGAGGAAAGAAATGTGGCCGGTGGTTGGCCAACCATTTCTTGGAAAATTCTTTGGATGGTACTGAAAGGGGAGCAACTTTAGGTTCATTTCAAAACCATTCAACTACAAGTATGAAACAAGTTACTGTATAGCAAGTGCTGAACAGTAAACTTTTATTCAAACGAAAACTTTTATTCATACGAATTCAAGCATAGTTTCCGTTATGCTTTTACTCTATGGTAAATGCTTTTGCTGTTTGCTTCTACATTTAAAGTTTGCAAGTTTGTATACATATGACCCATATAGGTAGGATTTTCAGACATTGCTAGGAGGGCGTCAATCGGTGGCGGACGGAGGGGGGGGGGGACAAGTGGGGGTATCATATCGTTTGTGCCCCCCCCCCCACACGGTTTTCGTCCCCGAATAAAAATTGTATAGCCAACATATGCTCAGAATATCTGATTCAATGACTCCACACACGAAAATAAGGTTAAGATGATCTTTTGCTCACAAGAATTGGTTTAAGTGGTCAGAAATCGCCTCAGAAACTGCATGCACGTACTGTGCGCACTTGGCATGTGCTAGGCGGAAAACTTCCAACAGAATACCTTCGCTCGTATCGAGCAAACAGAATAGCCCCCTCCATTAATTTTTGTGGAGTTTTTTTTCAGCAGACCTCAAACGAGAGAGGGCGCTCGATTATAAACAAACTTAGCGCGATATTCAGCTAACTCCGCGTGAAGCTAGCTTGACGCAAGAGGACGAACGTCTGTTCAAGATGACTTA